TGCACGCCTGAGGATTCTGCTGAGTGACAGGCAATTACACAGAGAGGAAAAATAGCTGTCTTCCTGTTATTCATAGCGCAGCGAGTTGAGCAACAGCCTTAAGTTTCAAAAGATTCGTCACTGACGACTTGAACCGAGAACAACTTCCTCTGCCTGAGTGGATTATCGTATATAAACAATGGTCACGTACACAAACTCGTTTACAGGAATAAATTTGTATGCAGATGTGGAAAAAAGGGAGTGTTTGCGGAGGTAGTGCAAACAAAAGAGAAAAGAGCGAGAAGGGAAGGCAGGCTGTCATCTGTAGAGCGCTGAAGTGAGGAAGGAGGGGCCGGCTGCGTGTAGAAGGGTGTGTTGTGAGTGTGTGTTTTATGTGTAGGACGGTTACGATGTTAATTCTCTGGTACACCATGTGCTCCACCGTCGCTGGAGGAGCTGTCAGGAGCCGCTGAGCGATTGATGGCGTTCTCAGAGAGAAAAAACAGTGTCTTGTTATTGCCAAGGAGATCAGCGAATAACACTTTTATATGGTCGTCAGCAGTTTGCCCCAAGCTTTGTTCTCTCATAAAAGGGTATAGGTTAAATACACACAAACAAACGCATGCAGGCAGTAACACCAGCACTGTATACGTGAAACAAGACTCTTACAAATACTGGCCTCATTTAACTGTACAGAGATTTTTAAACTCGCTCTTAGGTCATTGATTTAAAGCTTTATCCATGAAAATAATCTTGTCCTACTTTAAAATTGCTTAGCTGTTGCTCTACACTGTTGCTTTCTTTACAGTGGACAAATCTATGAAGTTCCCTCGTCTTTCCTCACTCAAACCTGTGTTACATGGTGCATCCGCAGCACACCAGCTCACCTATAACTCAGCTCAAACACTAAAACTACTCTCTGTTACACAAGTTGTCGTGTTGGAGTACTTCAGCCACACATGTTCAAACCAGAAAAAAAACAAAACAGAAAGCCCCACCATCAAGCTCACAGGATTGGTTCCTTAGATTTGTGACATAT